CAAAATCACTCTAGCTTTTTATAGCTCAAGCACGATTCTACTGGTGCTTCGAAGGATTGCTGGCTTTTCGATGAAAGGACCGGCTCACTTGTGGTAGCAAGTCGGGATGTATGTCATTCTTGCGCTATAATTTCCATAACATCCACCTCTCTATTCTTTTTACATGCAGATGGTGTTCTTTTACGAGGCTGACCAGTGCACCGACTCAGACGGCTACCGTGGCCGATGCCTTCAGCTAGGCAGGAGCCACGAAAAGCTTCAGCTTCTCTCTTTAGGCGAACATGTGGTGCTTCTCACAAAACAGCATGCTCTCATACCGTAAGTTATTGAGGTCGATTATTCTGCTGATTTGCCGAATTTTGTTGAATTTACTTGGTGGGAAACAGCTAGACCATCGAATCTCAGCGCATAGTATTCTTACATGACTGAAAAATTCAATTCCAAACTTCAACTGCTAGCTTCTCGAGGACGCTGACTGGTTATCTCAAATTCTAGGTGTGGGCGAGATTTTGAAATTGAATTTTCCGGCCAAAAATGGATATATGAGTTATCTTTTGAGTTCTGGCTTAGCTAAGGTCCGCCAACCAATTTATCAACCCAGCTTTTTAAATCAAAGTAAACGCATTCAAGAGCTACATACAAGCTTTTTACTGGTTTCTATTGTAGATCGAATGACGAGACGGAGTTCATGTCTATGGTTACCGTATACAATGTAAAGGGGCAGTATATCGGGTTTTCATGCTCACTTCCCTCTTTGTGCAGGTAATTCCAAATTTATAGATTCTCAAAGGAACATCCAATGCTAGAATTTCGCTTGCAGATTATTTACGCTCGATCAATCTTTACTGATTCTGGGCAAAGACGGCACTTTGTCCGAATTGACAGAGAAAAATCTTAGCGCAAAGTTGGATATTCTGTTCAAGAAGAACCTCTACGATGTTGCTGTCATGTAAGTGCAAAAAATTTGAAGTTACTCTATTTTTTTGTAAACTTTCAAAGTACAAAGCGACGCTGTTCTCGTGTTATCTATCTGAGATTCTGGGAAAAATTTTTGGTTTTTGCACTACAACCTTTAAAACTTAAATGAACTGCTTCAGTGCACCAAAAACCTCGAAGCTTTTAAGCAGTGAGCAGCGATTTGCACTAATCCACTTGTTGCATTTCAGTTTAGCGAAGAGTAGCAGAGACGGTGCTGAGCATCTGAAGTCGATTCATGCTAAATATGGTGACTACCTCTACGGGTAAAGAATCTTACTATTTGTTTTAACATCGTTTGATCGAAATATATTCCAGAAAAGGAGACTTTGATAATGCAGTCAGTGAATATAAGGAAACGATAGGAATGTTAGAGCCATCTTACGTCATAAAGAGGGTAACTCGGTCTGCTGATAGACATAGACTTCTACTTTAAATCAACTTTTCAGTATCTTGATGGGTCTCGATTACGGCAGTTATGCGTTTATCTGGAAGCCTTACACGACACTGACAAATACACCTTATATCATACTAACATACTTTTGAATTGTTATGCACAGTTGGAGGAGAGAAAGAAGATACAGCGGTTCTTGGAAAAAATAGCTTTAGATGGCAGAACAGACATGTCTAGTATATTTGAAGTAAGTTTGCATGGGATCTCTTATTACCGGTAGCTTATATCCACGTATAGTATATGCGAATGTTCAATATTCCCTCCTACCCCTTTCCTCCCAAAAAAGTGGATTACAAGTTGTTTGAATTATTCACATAAGTTATAACACTCATTTGTCAGCATTTGTAAATCGGAGGTATTCACAGTTTGAATGATCTTATAGATTTCATCACATTTTGACTAGCTCCGTAAAATGTTCATTTTTTGAGGCTTTATGGACTTACGAAAAATTCGAAAATTCCGAGAGTATCAACTGACGACGATAAACTTCTCAAAAATTTTGTTGACTTTTCGTCCTCCTCCATATTCCTCCATTCTACCAAGATTTCCCGACCGCCACAGATATGAAATTGATGTCCAGTAATTATTATAGAAACTGCGAAGTGTAGTGTTTTTTTTATTTGTACGATTCCTATTTTTCCAAGGTTCTGCGGTCTCTGAAAATGTCAGAAGATGCAAGTCTGCTAGCTGTAAAACTGAATATGCACGATCACGTCCTCTCAATGATGATAGAAGATCTTGGACGGCATGCCACTGCA